TCCTCAATAATTGTGTGGCCCTTTTGTGTAGCCTCCTCCTTTAACTCAAACATTGCTCGTCATTCTCCATCTTGCAATTAAACCCATTGCCTTGTACAGTACAGTCTACCAATGCCTTATATAGTCTACCCCGATAAGAGTATGCAATTGGTTGTTATCTGGTACCCTGAAAATTGATCGAGATGAATATATGAAGCTTACCTTACCTTACCTAGCTTCAATAGAATATATGAAACTTAGAAGGGAAGGCTATGGAACAAAAAATCATCTATGCTATACCGACCGTTTTCAATTAAGATTTTGTCATAATACCATACTATTGTAAGCTCTTTGAATACCAAATACATATCTTTCTTCGACATTAGAGTATGCTCTCCCATTAAGCAAACTAATGATAAAAAATATTCCTTAACTCATTGGGTGGGAGGTTGAGGGCGCAACTAGGGGTGCACAAACTGTGGTTAACCGACCGAAATATTATCGACAATCTCCAAATATTGGTTTGGAAAATTTTCATAAATTCCAGTCGAAGCTCCACTAGTACTACTCTATTAATACTGCTGAACTTACACTAAGAGGTAAATCATTTGCAACCATCAATTATGAATTTTAAAGAAAAAACAGAACAAAAAACACACTCAGGGAAAATGTATTGTAATGAAAAAAACTTGAAAAAAAAAAGTAACAGAAAAGCTCCATTAGCTTCGTGGTTTTAGGACGACACGAACAAGCTAAGGCGAAATCAGGGCAAGGTGAAAACAACCGACAATTGTTTGATTGTCTCGCTTCCTCTAATGCTTCTTGAAAAGCATGGTTCTTGTCTCGCTCCTCAATAATAGACATGCTTGAAGCTCAATTTTGTAAGAAAACAATAGAGGAATTGTTTATGGATTTTGTTGATGGAAAACGAAAAACAAAGATGGGATTTATCGAAGAGAAAGATCGGGGATTGGTACTCCAATTTGCCATAAATGTTTGGGCTTTAATCGATTGGGGGCATATGGATAATGGGTGAAGTTCTCAATGGGGGAAGTTGAGAAGTCTTAACACTTCCATAACGCGTCCATATAAATTGCTCATGTTCTTAATAACTTAAATCAAAATCTATGTCATCACTCTAAGCATCTTAAACCTTCATTCTTTCAATAGATTGTTATTTATTAGATAAATACATATAAAACATCAAACACAAGCAATATGCAATTCAACTACCAGACCAACTGAAATAGATGCAAGATAGATTCCTAACCATTAGTAGAAAAAGGAGGTTATTTAGTAATTAATTCACAGCATCAAATGATTTGTGGACATCTACCAAATGAGCTACTAGTAAGCAAATTGCATCTAGATTGTTAATACAAAACAAGACTTATGTCCAATTCAACAAAACAACTCCACAAAAGCTGGTGTGTACAAAATATCCTCACATCAACAAAACACCTCCCCAACAGTAGATAAATACATCCAAAAACCAAATAATATCGTCTTTGTTTTTGCACGACAACTAGCTATTAACTTTCCGTTGCCTTTTACTGTCTGATCGATCAAATCGAGTAAAGAAAGAGTCATACCTCCTCTCCCAGTGACTCTTGAACTCATCAACCTGATCATTAAATAACAACTCATTAAAATTTATAAACAAAAGGATAAATGAACCAATAAGTGAAATTGACCAGAAGCATCCAAATTCAACATACCATGGTGAGCAATGATTCAAGCTTCTCGCTCAATCCATTTGAATTGTGTCTTTTGCCCATGCTCTTGCTTGCCGGGTCCTCCGAGGAAGGATGCTGAAGAAAATATTACAAAAAGATGACTTAAGCTAAACAGAACAGCTACCTAAACCAATACTAAAATTAACATTAAAAAATATAGATTATACCTCTTGAAATTGTCGCCAAAAACGCACTCTTTCTTTAACCATGGCACCGCTAATCTTAGCAACATAATCCATTGCTTCGCACACCATTGGCCTAATCTTGTCTATAGGGCAGATTTTTGGAATGAGGTACACAGCTTCAGAGTACAATTTCTCCATCGGAAATTGTTTTACCAACTATAGTAATTGTATTACATACACAGTTATTTGTCCAAATTAGAAGTATACACAAAAGAAGAGAAAACAGAAACAGCTCAAACTGTAGGTAGGTAATCTTTTACCTCAATCTGACGTTCAATATACTTTATGGATATTGAAGGGTCAAGCTTTTTTCCCTCTAATTCAGAGGCTTTCTTTTGCTGCTTATGAACATTTTCAATTTCAGCAATACGTTGGAGGAGATCACAAGCCTCGTTGCTAGACCTAGTTTGCTTGTAATAGTAAATCTGTCAAGAGGATGGACACCAGTTAACAATAGCACCTTACAATTAACTAAAAACATTGGCGAACTATATATAATAAATCCAAACTAATGGAAATGGCAGAATTATTTGTTCATACCAAATTAATATAATGTGTGTGTGCATTTGGGGAACATAGAACTGAATTGTAACACAATACCTTACCCTAACATCCATTTCATATGCAACAGAAGTGATATAACCTCCCTTATTATAATTAGAAGGATCACCTCTTCTGTCGATCATCCTGTTTTCACTCATCAATTGAATGAATCGAAGATAGACGTCGTGAAATTTGGTAACTGTGGGGTCTTTTTTAAGTGGAGGCTCAATTTGAAATTAACATAATTAACAGAAGAGGATGTTATATATCTTTACGTGAAAAGACAGTGAATGCAAATCACTACTACCTTATATAATGCTTCGAGTTGTCGGAGAAGGAAGTTGAGAAGATCAACTGTCCACTTAGCGGTGGAAACAAGTATCCTACACAGATCCTCGTCATCACCCAGTTTCCTACAGTAATCCTGCCACAGATTCAAAGAAGGAAATAGATGAATAAAGGAAGAAACCTAGGACGTTTTTCATTGTACTACTCACCAAGATTAGTTTGTTTATATCCTTAATCTCTTCCTCAAACTCCTCGAGCTTTGAGATTTTGAGAACACAATCATCGCAGGGGAAGGGCGGTGAAAACAGAAGACCATCTTCTGCTTGTTCAATTGCCGCTAATGCTTCAAGAAATTGTTTCTGGCCCTTGTATTTCTCCTCGGCAGTGTTTACCTTTTCCATTTGGATTGCTCCACCTTCAGACATTCTTACACAGTGTTTTGGTTCGGGGGAAACTGAGGGCAGGGGAAGGGCGGTGAATGATTTTTTTTTTTGGCAAGAGAAGGATTAGAATTTTCCCTTTAAATCCCTCCTTCCTGCAAAAACTTTCTCGATCTTATTTCATAAACTACTTTAGGTAGCTTTTCAGATAAGCTAGTTGAATTTTTTATTTCAGCTAGCTTATCAGCTAATTTACCAAACGCCTTTTATCATATAAGCTAACTTTTCAGCTATAAGTCATAAGTTATAAGCTATAAGCTCAAAAATTACATATAAGTTATAAGCTAGTTTATCAGCTATCAGCTAGATTATCAACTAGTTTTACCAAACATAGCGTTAATCTTTTAACCTTATTATGTGAATTATTTTATTTTTCTGTTTCTTACTTCATTAAGGTTATAACTATTATTTTTACAATATTTTCTTTCCTTTTTATTTTTTTAACTAAACAAGGTTTACCATTTTCCCTCCACTCACCTCCTGCAAAATTCATCAAAACAAGGTAAAATTATTTTACATCACCTCCCCTCCCCTCCCTTCCGTTAAAATTTATCCTCTCTCTTTTCCTTATTTGAACCAAACATACCATTAAAGATTACTTTTCTAAGAATAAAAAAAATAAAACGGAATTGCTCACGGATTTTAGCGAAGACGATTCAGAAAAGACATAATAAATGGAGAGAAAGAAATGCTACTCCGACTAACCCTAATTTGTTGGAAGGTGAAGGCTGAAGGGTGTATTCAATTAGGATTAACAATTGGGATTTTAAGATATTTTATTTTATTTTTTTTTTTTTTATATTTTAGACTTTTTAAAATTTTTAGATTTTGGAGGAATTTATGAAATCTTAGGGGTGTATTTAATTAGAATTTTTTAAGACTTTAGAAATTCTGTTGTATTCAATTTAGAATTTTTAAACTTTTAATGTCTTGGAAAAGTCTTAGGAAATCATGTATTTAACTTATTTGAAATTATGATTTATTATTAAGACTTTTTAAAATTCGGTGAGATTTCTAAAGAAAAAACATTATACAAAATCTCACTCCAAATCTTATTTTCAGACTTAGTATTTCACAAAATTTATCCAAGAAAACTTTTTAACAAATCTCAAATCTTAAAATATCTCATGTCACTTGAAATCTCAATTAAATACACCACATTATGTCTCGAGATAGGATTTGAAGTGAGATCTCATATAAAATTTTCTTGTTTAGAAATTTCACTAAATTTTATAAGACTTTTTAAAATTTCAATTAAATACCAAAATTTTTAAAAGTATTATAAATCTAAATTGAATACACTTCCTAAAAGTCTTAAAAATCCTTAGAAATTTTAATTGAACACACCCCTAACGAGGATATGAGCAGAAACAAGGGCCAGAAACACTGGCTGCGTAAGAATGCCTGAAGGTGGAGCAATCCAAATGGAAAAGGTAAACACAACCGAGGAGGAATACAAGGGCCAGAAACAATTTCTTGAAGCATTAGCGGCAATTGAACAAGCAGAAGATGGTCTTCTCTTTTCACCAGGCCCCGATTTTCGCTTAGCTTGCCCCTGCGATGACTGTCTTCTCAAAATCTCAAAGCTCGAGGAGTTTGAGGAAGAGATTAAGGATATAAACAAACTAATCTTGGTGAGTAGTACATAATCAGTCAATGGCAAACGTCCTAGGTTTCTTCCTTTACAACAACAACATCATAATAGCCTTAGTCCCAAGCAAGTTGGGGTAGGCTATCTTCATAGAACGGCTAGGTTTTACGTCGGCTCGCCGAGCTTATCACAACCCTCTTCCTTTACTTATTTATTTTCTTCTTTGAATCTGTGGCAGGATTACATGGGGAAACTGGGTGATGACGAGACACTATGTATGACACTTCTTTCCGCCGCCGAGTGGACAGTTGATCTTCTCAACTTCCTTCTCCGACAACTCGAAGCATTACATAAGGTAGTGATTTGTATTCACTGTCTTTTCACGTAAAGATACATAACATCCTCTTCTTTTAATTATATGAATTTCAGATTGAGCCTCCACTTAAAAAAGACCCCACAGTTACCAAATTTCACGACGTCTATCTTCGATTTGTTCAAATGATGAGTGAAAACGGGATGGTCGACAACAGTCGTGATCCTTCTGATTATAATGAGGGAGGTTATGTCACTTCTATTGCATTTGAAATCGATGCTGGGGTAAGATATTGTGTTAGAATTCAGTTCTATGTTCCCCAAATGCACACAGATATTATACTAATTTGGTATTAACAAATAATTCTGCCATTTTCGTTAGTTTGGATTTATTATATATAGTTCGCTAACGTTTTTAGTTAATTGTAAGGTGCTATTGTTAACTGGTGTCCATCCTTTTGACAGATTTTCTATTACAAGCAAACTAAGTCTAGCAATGAGGCTTGTGATCTCATCCAACGTATTGTTGAAATTGAAAAAGTTCATGAACCGCAAAAGAAAGCCTCTGAATTAGAGGGAAAAAAGCTTGACCCTTCAATATCTATAAAGTATATCGAACATCAGATTGAGGTACAGATTACCTACCTATAGTTTGAGCCTTTTCCTTTTTCTCGTGTACACCTCTCACTTGGACACATAACTTTGTATATAAAATACAATTACTATAGTTGGTAAAGCAATTTCCGATGGAGAAATTGTACTCTGAAGCCGTATACCTCATTCCAAAAGTTTGCCCTAGAGACAAGATTAGGCCAATGGTGTGCGAAGCCATAGATTATGTTGCTAAGATTAGCGGTGCCATGGTTAAAGAAAGAGTTCGTTTCTGGCGAGAGGTATAATCTATATTTTTATGTTAATTTTAGTATTGTTTTAAGTAGCTGTTCTGTTGAGCTTATCGTCTTTTTTAAATATTTTCATCAGCATCCGGAGAACGTGGCAAGCAAGAGCATGGATAAAAGACACAATTCGAATGGATTGAACGAGAAGCTTGAATCATTGCTCAACGTGGTAGGTTGAATTTGAATGTTGCTGGTCAATTGCATTTATTGGTTTATTTATTTTTTTGTCGATCAATTTTATTGAGTTGTTATTTAATGATCAGGTTGATGAGTTCAAGAGCCACTGGGAGAGGAGGTATGACCCTTTCTTTACTCGATTTGATCCATCAGATTTTAAAAGGCAAAGGAAAGTTAACAGCTAGTTGTCGTGCAAAAATAAAGACAACATTATTTGGTTTTTGCATTTATTTATCAACTGTTGTGGAGGTGTTCTATTGAATTGGACATAAGTCTTGTTTTCTGTTAACAGTATAGATGCAATTTGCTGACTAATAGCTTATTTGGTAGATGTCCACAAATCATTTGATACTGCAAATTAATTATTACCGAACCTCCTTTTTCTACTTATGGTTAGGAATCTATCTTGCTTATATTTCAGTTGGTGTTTCATATGTATTTATCTAATGTGAACGAATGAAGTTTTAGGATGCTTAGAATGATGACAGGGATTTTGATTTAAGTTAATCAAGAAAGCAAACAGTTGTATATGGACTTATGGATGTTTTAAGACTACTCAGCTTCTCTCATTGAGAACTTCAATGAGTGATAAGACTATTGCTTAACACTTGAACAAATTATTTGCAATAATTTTTCAATCTCAAGCAAACAAAATCCTTTTCATGTCCTTGTCCTTCTCATGCCCATGAGTCATGACAATTCATAATCCAATTCTGGAATAACTGTTCTGATTCTATTGATTGAATAGTCTAATTGTGGGATTATCGGGTTTTAATTTTGATTTTTTTTTTTTTCATGATATAGTAGACATTCAGGTGTGTTTGGTTACAATATTGTTGT